CCCGGAAAATAAAGGACACGGCCAAGGTGGGCAGCATGTCGGGCAATATTGGCATCGCTTATTTCAAAGCTAACAACTACCCGGCCGCTCTTCATTACCTGCAGGAAGATTACCGCATCAGCAGGCAGCAAAACCAGTTATTAAGCGCCGCCAGCTCCCAGGTGGTGATTGCCAAGGTCTTTTTTGAACAGGATAACTTTGCCGAATCTATCCGCTCCTTAGACACCGTCCAACAGCTATTAAAACAGACGGGCGGCTCTTACCAGATTTACTGGGAACTTTATAAGCTGCTCAGCAATATCTATCTCCTGAAAAAAGACTTCTACAAAGCAGCCAGTTACCAGGATTCCTTTATCAGGTATAACCAGATCCTCACGGAAAAAAGTAACTCCACCATTGTCAGCGGCCTGGAACTCAAAGTAAGTTCGGCGATCCACGAAACCCAGATCCGCCTGATGGAAAGTGAGCGGAAAAGACAGTTGCTCCTGAGAAATGCTCTTATTGTAGCCACCCTGCTCATTATTGTTATCGTATTGCAGATGATATACCGGCTGCGGCAAAAGCAAAAATCAGAACGCCGGATCTTTGCCATTACCCTGGACAATGCCGAAAAAAAGCTGGCCAATTATATCCAAAGTATAAGAGAGAAAAACAATTTGTTAGAGCAGTTTGAGACAGAGCTGGTGCAGATAAAAAATCAGGCAGCCACCATTGATGCAGATAAAAGGGAGGCCTATAATAATGAAGAATTGCTTTCACGCATCCAGAATGCAACCCTGATCACGGAAGAAGCCTGGCAGGAATTTACCGGCTTGGTGGATACGGTTCATAAACATTTCTTCATCCGTCTCCGGCAAACCTTCCCCGACCTGACCCCGGCTGAAACCCGGCTGCTGACCCTTATAAAACTTCAATTTGCCACTAAGGAAATGGCTGCCATGCTGGGCATCTCCCAGGATTCCGTCAAAAAAGCCAGGCAACGCGTACGTAAAAAGATAAATATAGCGGAAACAGAAGACCTGTACGAAGTGCTGAAAAACATCTAGTCCGCCAAATATGCCAACAATACCACTTCAGTAAATCACTGATTATAAAATACCAATGATTGTATCCCTATTTGTCCCCCTTGCTTTATTGGTTTTC